TTCAACATTTTAAAGGTTCGCTGTCACTATGCAGCTCCTGCCTAGTATGTTCTCAGTCATCTCTTTATATTTTCTAAATTTTCACTAAATGAGCGTTCCTTCTCCTTTCTACATTCAAAGCTGTATACCTGATGCTCTTCTCATCTTGTACTAACAAAGATTTCTCTTTAAAAAAATACCCTAAACCACCTAGTAACATCTGCACTGTCACACTGATTTCCTGGGCAATGATCTGATTCTTGTGGTTGAGTTGAAACACTTGGCATTTAGCCTTTTTCTTCTTCCCTCTGAGGAACTAGGTTATTACTGCCTCATACAGCAATGCCTGCATGGTATTAGGAGCTAATTAATGTCTATTTAGTGTAGAGGGCTGCAACCATCTTCCAGCACCTACAGGCATTTTTTCTTCCTCTCCCTGACAAGACCAGATGGCATTCTGGCCAACCTTCACCCACCCTTCACGAGCCATGCACTCGATTCAGCCAATGCAGCTAGCAGCTTTGGAAATACATTACCATCACAGCTGGACAGCTGCTAGAAAAGTGCTTGTTACTGCCCCAAACAATGGGAAAATTAATTACTTCAATTAAAAAACATAGAATAAACTTCTACTAAGGTATAGACACCTTTTCATCTTTGTATGCTGTTGTGGTTTTTATTTTATTTCATTTTCCAGCTCTGAACACATAACAGGGTGACAAACATAACTAGCAAGAGAAATATATTGCCAACAACAAATGCTTGCAGCAGGCCATGAGGTCATCCACAACTCACTGCACCATTTTATCATAGGATAAAATCAGGATGAACCCACTCATGTATAAAGGAAGGGTCCAGTTACATGTTTCAGTGGAGTCAGACCAGAATATTTAGCGTTTTTAAGAACAAGTACCTCTAGTCCAAATAAATTGTCTTCCTATTGTGTTTTTTTATGCACCATTCACATTAATTGATGTTCCTGTTAAACTACAATCTGTCTCAGCTCCTGGTTATTGCATCAAGACACTGTTTCATGTCCTGTCCACTCCATACATCAGTTACACATCAAAGAGCTATCAAAAAAAGGAACAAAACAAGAAATACCATTAATCAAAAGCCAGTTGAAAATAACTTGAAGCTCAGTTAACTGAAAACAAAAGTATAATTTCTATCTCAGAAAGAACTCTGCCTCAAAACCATTATATTCAAATCACAGTTTGACACAAAAGCTTGTGATCAAAAGCAACAGCAAACATTATAATTATTTTCAGATCACACATTCTCTTCTCTGCTTCCATTTATTGAAATAATTTAAAGGATCTTTCTATTTGCATACTTTGACTTTTTAGCTACATTCCTCACTTGTCAGAAATAATTACCTAATCTCAAAGAGGTTTTATATATATAAATATGCATATACACACATATTTATATATGTGTGTATATAGTGATGACAGATGCACTCTAAGCAGCCTGCAGCTATATTATGACCAGCTGTGGTTTAATCTCTTCCTAACACCTGAAGAGTTTCACTCCAAACTGTTTAGGAGAAAAATGACCACTGAGAAAACATTCCCAGTGAGTCAACTATGACACTTTTTCTCAAGTGCCATAGTTGCCAAGTCCCCTATCACTTGGCCTGGGTTATAGGATAATGCACTTTGACTCGGAAATGCTGTACAGTATTTCAGATTAGATGTAAAATAATGGATGCTGATGATTCTTAAAAGATCCATAAGAGCTCCACATACAGGAGGAATTGTCCTCTCTGTTCTCTGCCATATTCCTCTTTAAAAATTTTGCTAGAATCCTTCTCTCAAATTTTATTTGAAAAATAACTTCTGAAAGGACAAATCTTTGTAAAGAACCTGTGAGCTACTTCAGCTGCCAAAACATAATAGTGCTCTCTAAAACACTTCTTTCTTTTGCTTTAAAGTGCCAGGTTAGAAAGACTATTTTACGTCGCAAATTCAAACATTTGACAGTTTGGAAATGTGAGAGCTCATGTCACCCGAGCATCATACTCCACCCCTGTTACATTAAGTGTCATGACAACCTGAAATCACATTGCCACCCTTTACTTTCTTCTGCTGGACTCTTGTCTCAGTATTTTAGTAGAGACCTGCATGATATCCTTCTGTATATGCAGTGCACAGCCTCAAGATTTATTTATGCCACAATACCAAGACTGCACAGAATGCAAAATGATTAATTTCCCGCTAAGCGTCTCTGACAGCATGTCCCCATAGTACCCAAGCTTCTCATGGCCATGAAATTTACCCTCACTCTGCTCCTCTAAGGTGAGGTTGCAATATTATCTGTATTCTGCAGCTGGGAAAGCAGGCACAAACTTTCCATTAATTTTAGTATTACAACCTGAGGCAACAGAAAGACTATTTCTCAGTTTCCAGCCCTTCACTCTCTTTCAAATTTTTCTTGTACTGGCCTTCCAGGAACCAAAGCTACTTCACAGTGGACACACATAGAATGAGGAGTCCACTGTTAACAGGCCATTTGCAAAAAGTTTGTTGTAAATCTTTATTGGTCAGAAATCCTGTCTGGGATGTTGAGCAGAGAAGCCAGTCCCCCAGAGCAGCATTCAAGTACCTTAACAGTAACAGTACCTTCCTTTCTCCACCATGATACCCTGACTCATTTACTATATATCTTCCATCTTGGCAGCAAATAAGGCAGTGTCTAAACATATTTCAGAGCTTGCCCACCTGTGTAATGAAAAATCTGCATAAACCCAGAATTTCAGATTCTGGAGAGAAACAGTCACAGACCCTTCCTCTGTGTCCCTAGCCTGTCTCACTATTCCCTTACCTATATACACTCCACATCCTCTTTCTTTTCATTATTCCCATTCTGATTTCCAGACACCTGCATGTCCTCTGTGCTCCTAGCAAACAGCTTCCATCCTCTAACCCAGTTCCCCAACCTCCTGCACATACTCCCTTTTCGATTCTACTCCTTTGGCTCTTGCAACTTCTTCTCCTTGTTCCTTCACACACCTTTTCCTGACCCATCTCCATTTGACCATGATTACTGCATCCCTTTTCTCCTTTCTACTGGAGATCAGCTGGCGAGCAGCACGGCACCCCTTCCCTCAGCCCTGTGGGTAGGCTTGCAACCTGAATTAGGCACAGACAGTCATAAATCCTCAGTGAGCATGTACAGACAGAAACTTTTGAAAGCAAAACTCCCGAATCTGAGATGTCTCCAAAGTGCATGAGCAATCTCATCAGCAGGGCAAACTCAGGGGTAATTTTCAAGACAGCGAAAGGCATCTCCCTGGTATTATGATGACATTTTATAAAATGTCAAGCCTCCAAAACTTCATTCCAATGAAGTTCATTCCACTGTCAGCACTAAAACATCTCAGGAATCAACCGCTGGATTTATTTATTTATTTGAAAGAAGGTAATTTAAAGGAGTACATTTTCCACAAATCTTGTCTTCAGAACGAACTGACTTTTTTAAGTTTTTACTAAAAGAAAAAGAATCAGTCCAAGATGGAGTCTTACCATGAAAACTTTCAGCCAAAACAATTAAAGTTTAGAAAAGCTGTAAAGAAAACAATTCCTTAGAGTAGACAGTGACAGATACACTTTACTCAGGGCAATGCTGCTGACTTTTCTTGTAATTAATAAATCTACTAAACATAATTTTTACAGCTAAGCAAACATTTCCAGTCATGCTGATGTAACCAAAATCAGTCCTCTTACCAATTAGAAATTAGTCCACATGTTCTCACCACCTCTTTAGACTGCCTAAAAGTGTCTATGGATCACTTTTCTCAGAGCTTTGTCAGCTCCAAAGTTTGGGGCCTGCCACTCCAGTCTGTGGAAAAGTGAACCTGAATTCACCATTCTTCACATTGCAAAGGGCACCAAGAACTAACTCAGAATCCCTCAGGGCGATAGGAGAAAACCAGGGATGTGTCTCCTGGCAGTGCTAGGTAGATCACCCTTTCTTAGCATGTTATCTCCTTCTCCTGACAGCAGTTTCCAGTTTGCTGGAAAGTTTCCAGTTTGCAGCCACATGGCTACACAGTCTACCATCCACACTGCATCTGTCCTGGAAATGTAGGCTCTGCCTGCCCTGTAGAAACCTTGCAGCCCCCTTCCACACACATCCAGACAGAAACAAAATCTGAAACAAGGACCACATGGTCACTATTCCTAATTTTTCTATACTAAGTTTTAAAACCTGTTCATAAGGATGTCCAAGCAGTCAAACTAGAAACACAAAGCAGAACTGATGTACATAATTATACATTAGGTACTCGTGCAGGGGGTGGAGGGGGGGGAGGGGGAGGGAGTGTTAAACAATCCCAAAAGACTGGAATCTTTCAAAGCTACCAACAGAGTTCTGACAGGTGTTTCCCATCTAAACTTTGGTAGTGACTATAGATCTACTGATCTGAAAATCTAAAGTGAAATCATCAAAAACTGAGAACCACTTCTAAAATAGGCAAGCAGAATAAGAGATGTTTTTATACAAATGTGAACAGGGTAAATTGATATGGTGGTAGAAGTCTCCATGGGGGAATTATCAGAAAGATAAACCAACGTTTAGTCACCCTACATGGTTCAAGATTATATGAAAACTACTGCCTATATCTTTGACAACAAGCAGCAGTTCTAGAGGTTTCTGTTTTGTCATATTGTATCAGAGCTAAAGTGAGGGTGAATGCTTCGATCTTTCCCCTAAATAGTTGCTAAGAACATTTCCTTAGGTGGAAATTCAGGCACCCAAAATAACATATTTTCTTTTAGGGTCCTTGGATCTAGATTAATTAAGAGTTCAGGGTGCCACAGAGGAAGAAGTAAAGGCAAGAACATATAATAGGGGAGAAATAGGAAGAACAGAATGGAAGAGCATGAGAGAGGTAGCAAAAGGACTTCTGTAATTTCAGCATGTCAGCACAATTCATTACGCTTAAAGGAGACACCAGGAGCTGTCTGTGGTGACAGTGACAGTGCGTCATCAAGCAGAGAAATGCAGAGGGCTCTTACTGCAGCATATGTGTCTGGCTGGCGTCCTTTTGTTTGTCAGGTACCTCGTAGTGGGGGGAGATCTTGCCGAGGCCACCGTCACTCAGCATCCTCTTTCGCACAGCAGGGTTCCACCGATCTGATATTCTGGGGATATAAGAAGGAAGAGAAAGGCATTCACCCCTCAGAAATTTGCTGCGTACTCCACTTTGAAGCCATCTTACGCTTACTGGTTCCCAGCATTTTTCAGCCCATAGCAAGTTTAAATGGATTAATTCATTATGAATATAAGACTGTTCCCAAAAATGAATTGAAGCATTTCTGGTCTGTCAAGAAGATGATAAGAAACAGACACTTCACCATCTTGCTTAGCCATAAAAGGCTTCAGGTCCTTATACAGTAGTATTAGAGCCCTAAACACACACAGAAGTTTGTAACTCAATCATTAGAGATTTATGCCAGAGGAGATAGTCAAATGGTATCTTGACCTATACAGCAGGTTAAAAGGTGCCAAAGTCTTTTAGCCCTGCTGTGTGCTCCAGAATGCCTAATGGAGTAGATGTAGATTATGCTACTGTCCTTCTGTCATTACCATGGCTGGATTTGTTCCTGTCCTCGGCTCCTCATCTAATGTCTGCCCTCCCACATCTCCCAGTCCTTCAAAAAAAGGGGACCATAAAGAGATGCTCATCTCTGATACAACTGTGAAAAGTCAGATCCCAGCAATACTCACCCAGAGGCCTGCTCCACTACCAGATCAGGCATTCCTGGTGGCGTCCCCACCTGCTGTGACATTACCATCTCTGGGTCCAGAATAAAAATCTCGTCCTGCGAAATTTCCGTCACAAAGTGCAAATGTTCCTGTTGGAAGGATACAAGCAACAAATAAAGAACCTGCAGCCTCACTATCTCCCAGAGCACCCAGCTACCCTAGACCCAGCTGGCTGCACTATAAGGTCTCTGAAGAGCATTCAGGGGACTCTGTGTACTTAAGTGCATACTTACACAACCACATTAAAACCAATGCCACAGAAGTCACTAATAAATATTTCATTGATTTCAAGCCAAACAAGATTTTCAGTTAGCAAGCTTCACACAGCAACACTTAAAAGGCTGCTACTCAATGATTCCATGTCACTCTGATGAAAACTACAGGCCTACATAAAAAGCTGAGGTTTGCATTTCGAAATGAGGATCAACACCCAAGGTCTCTCATTCAGTGATGGTTGACAGAACTTTGCATTGTTTGAGGGTACTCTTGCAGTCCTCTACTGCTTGTACATTCTGGTTTCACATCTCCATTAATAAAGTTTTCTTTCTTAGTCCTTCCTTTTAGTTATTGACGCTGAAGGCTCATTGTCCTTCAAAAAAAAAACACTGAGTGGGAGTAGGCCTGTCTATGTAGGCAAACAGGCAGGACACTTCCCACTGTTTGTGTGCTGGGACCATCACACAGTATTGACCTTTTCCCCACAGAAGCACAGGATGGAGGAGTAAGATGTACCATCTGTACAGTGTCAAGTATTAAGGAAATACAGAATAAGCCAAACAGGATCAGATTGCCTAGTTTAACATGCATCTTCTTCACCTGTGCCTTTGAAATGTTGAAGTACATCACGAAAACAAAGATGCACAACGTGTGTGTAAAGGAGTCCCATGGTGGCTACATGCAGACACTGAACATGGAAACTCTGAACTAAAGTCACAGGTCCTGCTGCTTGAACTAAAGCACCAGCTGTTTTTGCTAAGGAATGATAATATGTTCATGTGATTCAGAAACAGCTTACACAGTTCTCAGGGGGACTAAATACAAATGACCACTGTGTGTGAAATCAACAATTTGCACTTAATGCTCAGCCACTAATTGGCCTATTCTGGCTACAAATCAGAAACACCAAAAGCCCTATAAAATTTTCATTGTTTTCTAGAAAACATATTCAGATTGTCAAATCTCTATCACAGGTTTGAATGCAGCAGAGCTGCATATTGTTTCAGGAATATTTGATGCAGCTCTGTTCCTAATACTCAAACTGTAACATCACCTAAAGTTTTATAGTATTTCATGGCAGACACATGCACAGGATCAAGGCTTCTGGTGCTGAAAAGCATCAGTGAAAAGATAAATGTGAATACACTGGTGCCACACAGATGCCCTCAGTAAGAAAATAAGGAGGGCAAGGGCAGAAAATTCTGACCTTTATATCAAACTGGTAGCAAACAGAAGAGCAGATGGTCAGCAGACACAAGTCATCATTGAAACAATGCAAATTACATCTACTAAAATATGGCACAGAATATTTTGTCTATTTCTCATGAAACATCAGTAACATTATGGAATATACAGGAGGAAAGGCAGATAATTCATTTTAGGCTGCATTAGACATAGCTTTAAAAAAAAAAAAAAAAAAACAACCTCTAGAAATTATAACTGAGTAAAGATTTACCTGAGATCTGTCAATGCGGTAAAAACGATCAGCAGAAGTTGCTGCAAGACAGAGAGACAACAAAGCCATTGTGAAGAAAATAGTCTGAGCAGAACTGCATGGCCAAAACAGGCTGTTTTGTCCACTACCACATAAGACAAAGCCTGTGTCAACTCAAGTGGCCCTACAAGAACATAATCTAATTAATTCATTGTGTCCATATAAGTGGTGTCTCTCAGGGGTCAGTATTGGGACCAAAACTGTTCAACATCTCTGTCAGCAACATGGACAGTGGGAGTGAGTGCACCCTCAGCAAGTTCACTGATGACACCGAGGTGCGTGGTACAGTCGACATGCTGGAGGGAAGGGATACCATCCAGAGGGTCCTTGTCACACCTAAGAGGTGGGGTCATGTGAACCTCATGAAGTTCAACGAAGCAAAGTGCAGGGTTCTGCACCTGAGTCTCAGCAATCCCAGGCCCACCTACAGTCTGGGTGGAGAAGTGATTGAGAGCAGCAGCCCTACAGAGAAGGACTTGAGGGTAATGGCTGATGAAAAACGCAACATGAGCTGGCAGTTTGCACTCAGCCCAGAAAGCCAACTTTCTGCTGGGCTGCACCAAAAGGAGCGTGGCTAGCAAGTCAAAGGAGAAGGTTCTCCCCCTCTACTCTGCTCATGTGAGACCCCATCTGGACCACTGCATACAGTTCTGGTGTACCCAACATAACAAGGACATGGAACTGTTGAAGCAAGTCCAGAGGAAGGCTATGAAGTTGAGAAGAGGACTGGAGCACCTCCCCTATGAAGACAGGCTGAGAAAGTTGGGGCTGTTAAGCCTGGAGAAGAGGTTGCCTGGAGACCTCATAACAACTTTCCAGTATCTGAAGGGGGCCTGCAGGGAAGCCAGAGGGGGACCCTTCATTAGGAATTGTAGCAGTAGGACAAGGGGTAATGGGTACAAACTGAAAGAGGGGGAATTCAGGATAGACATTAGGAAAAAATTCTTTACTGTGGGAGTGCTGAGATACTGGAACAGGTTGCCCAGGGAGGTTGTGGATGCCCCAATCCTGGTAGCGTTCAAAGCCCCATTCGATAAGGCCTTGAGCAACCTGGGCTATTGGGAGGTGTCCCTGTACATGACAGGGAGGATTGGGACTAGATAATCTTTAAGGTCACTCCCAACCATAAATATTCCATGATTCTATGATATTCCTAACCCATTAAATGGTGAATTTTAAGGTAAGGTTTAATAAACAGTAGTCACTGAAAATATTAATTTGAAATAAATATTTTTTAAAAATGTATTAAATGGATTTCAGGCTTATAATAAGAATTGATTACATTAAAATATGTGACAGAAGAAGCTCTATTGTTCCTAGGAGAGTATGGCAAGCATATAATTAAATTGATGAACCTAATAGGATTAATTCAAATTTTGAATCTAAAGAACAATACCATGCTTGGAAGCTCTTTGTAAATCAAATGCATGGCTACAGATATTCATTCTGAACTAACAATATATTCAAGGAAAATTTATGCTACTCATGAAAAACACATAAAAACAGGAGAGATTCTCTAAATAAAACATGTATTATGAATTTGCCACTGTCAAATAATTTATATTACTAAACCCAAAAGTATTTTATTATCTACAATGTGCTTCATCGGATGCAATTTTTTTTGTATCTACTTTGCATTTTGTTTGGCGAGTGAAATCAGGTCCATTCACTCTGGAGTTTTGACACAAGAGCACAGTGATATAGCATTGTAGGCTTTGGCACTGCAGGAGAATATCAAATACTAAAGACAAAAACTAAATGCATCAACCCAGCCAGCCTTCTCCAAAAACCAAACAGATTCTCAATATGTTTTTTATCAATTTCCCTCATGAGAGACAAGGAAGAGTGATTAGAAATTGCCAAGGAGAATTTGTTTTTGTTTAGAATATTAAAAATTTAAGCCTCCCCATGCTGAAGCTTTCGTAAAAGCAGATGCCATCCATTTCAGCTGCTAATTCCTGTGCTCTGGAGCCTGATGTAAAGCCAAGATAAGTCATCTGCTTTGACAAAGTCTGGGTCTAATACAAGGTCAGCTCTCCAGGGAGTTACATGAAGTGCAGCATTACAAGGAAAAGGATGTACATTTCCATCACCTAAACACTACAGTGCCTAAAGACTATAGAACTTACAGAGAAACCAAAGTGAAGAGTACAGTCTTGCCAGCAGCAGCACGTTGCCACAACCAGCACTCTGAGTTCAGGCATTGCCATGCACTAAATCTCCTCATCACAGCAGAGACTCTAATAAATCCAACTAACCTCCCTCAGGGGAGCATGTCTCCTTGGGGTGAAAAAGCTACAGTAGACATTTTGATTGCTAGATGAAGGGCCCACTTCACTTTTTAGAGGGGAAAGGGGGTCACTCAGCTCCTTTTTACCTGTTCAGTGTAACAAGAAGGAAGAAGCTACGCCACCACAGTTAATACTCTCAGATCAGAACTATCTTTCATATGCACAACAGAGGCAAGCAGCATGCTGGACACAAGACAAGGGAGATGCACTTACCATCTAGGAAGCACCATCTAGGAGAGAGCCTCTGAACAGAAAGGACTCTGGGGAAAGAGCTTTCCTGGTCCTGTATAGGGCAGGGAAATTATGTTAAAAAAAAAAAAAAAAAAAAAAAAAAAAAAAAAAAAAAAAAAAAAAAAAAAAAAAAAAAAAAAAAAAAAAAAAAAAAAAAAAAAAAAAAAAGAGAAGTATTTTTTCTCCAGAAAGGGCTATTTCCTAGACTTCTCCCTTTTTTTCATTTTGCTCTACTGACATTGCACAATGTGTAAAAGCTATACAGCATAAACCCACTGGATTTTCTTCTCCATGATATCAAGGTTTGACTGCAATAATAGAAAAGAGTAAACTGACATTGTTTAGTTTCAGCCACGTCTTCAGCTATCCTCTTCTCTTCAGCAGTATCAAAACCTTTGCATCAACAACAGCTTTCTCAACAGGAACAGAGGGAGGTGAAAGAGATCAAAGACCCACATCAGTATCAAACAGCAGCCACGAACTCTAATTACTGTTTGTTCCTTATGTGCTGTCACAGAATCACAGAATATACTGAGTTGGAAGGGGCCACAAAGATCATCAAGTCCAACTCTTGGCCCTGCACAGGACCATCCCCAAGAGTCACATGATGTACCTGAGAGTCTCTGTCACCTTCCTTTGTTCCAGCTCAGTATTTTTCACACACTTTTGCCTCCTCTACTGATCTGCCACTCAAAGCAATTCCCCAACTTGCTCTGTCCCAAATGTACATTGGAGTAAAAAACATGTTATCCTCTGCACCAAGAATACATAGAGTGCCGGTCTGAGGACCACCACTGGCCAAACAAATAGACATCCTACATCGACACGTTTCCATTCTGGCTAAAAAAATCTGCTCCTGGAGATCTGACAGATGTTACATCAGGAATCAAACAAAATGACTGGGGAAACCTTCTTTCTGAACTGTGCTCACCAAGGACTCAAACAGTCCCCCAGGCATTTTTAGCTCTCACTGAGCTGAAGAGGCAAAAGGCATCTCAAGAGTGCAGAGGGTGGTCATCTCTGTGCTCCATGCTGCCAGTGGATGGTCAGCCAAATTTTTAAAGCCACTGGTATATAACATTTAAACACAAATATATTTGCACAGGGGAAAACACAACAGCTTCGATCTTGGGCACACACACAAAATTTGTATAGAGACAGATGCTATCCTTATTTACATCTTAAGCAGTACAATCACCACATCTGCAAACAATGCAAATTCAGGCTCATGTGGGCTCAAGATTAAACTTTACTCCCCTTTCAGACAACAGACTACAGAGTAGTATACCAAGTCACATGGCAAGAAAAGAAAATGTAGAAGCAACAGGGAGAATCTTACTTAATTTCATAAATCTTTCTCTCATGTACAGCTTATTGTCTGCAGCCTCCTTAGAGGAGACAATGACAGCATAAAATTCCATAAAGTGAACTTTATCTACACACGGGGACCAGGTAACACATCTCAGTGGTTTCATAGAATCAGATTTAAAATACACCTTTTCTTTCTCTAAGAAGGACTAACCGAGCTGTGGGATGCTTAGGTTTGCTTGTGTTGCAGCTGACTTGTATGTGGGAGAATCAAGGATCACTGAAATCTATTAGGTTTGCTGTCGTCTGTATCTACGTGCAAAAGCTTTATGTATCTTAATATTTAGTCCACTCTGTGGAAAGGAGAAGACTATTATAAAAAAGGAAAAAAGGAAGAAAAGATCCAATAACGGTATGTACTAAAAAGTAGTTTATACAAAGAAGAAAAATGAGTAAAGATTCATAGAGTACATAATGTTGGCAAAGGGAATATGGGGATAACGCTGGTAAATGTAAATTTGAATCCCAAATTGCATATTGTGATATCCTCCTTCCAAGACTTCATTACAGTTCAACTGCAGAAGTAGCTTGCTAAGTCTCAGGCCCATGAGAATGGTATGTTATCAGCATTAAACTCATTAGAGAAACAAAACAGTATGAAAAACAAATCTAGTGTAATTCTTTTCATTTGCACCTGGGCTTGCTAATACTTCTGCTGACTTCCCATGTTTTGAGCTGCAGAGGAATCGCACAAGAGAACTGCATTTATGAGACCTAAAAGTACCCATGACACCTTATTAGTGAGGTATGAAGACAGTTCTGTCACTTTAAGCACCTTATTTATGCCCTTTATCCACTGCTTTTTCCCATTTCTGCAATATGTATAGGGATACCAACATGGAACAAACCTCAAATTAACCTAACAAGACAGTTTGCAGAAAGTGACCCACTGAGAAAAAAAGAACAACAATGTTTGACAAGACCAGGACAAACAAGTACTGAAGACAAAACACAGAGAGGGGTGCATTCAAAATGTAGCATCATAAAAAATGGATGGTATGTTAGGGATTTCACACTGCTGTGCACTAGAGAAGATGGCTAGGCAACTAATTTATATACTGCTATAACTGCAGAGGTTAGAGCCAAGTATAGAAATGATTTTCAACATTACATACTCTTTTTTAGACCTCCCCATATAGGCAGATTTAGTTCTTCATTTTACCTCAGGCAGTTTCCTACACATGGAGCAGTCAGCAGCCACTTAGGTTAATTTATAATGAGTGGAACACAATCGTACGTGCTGATTTATTAGTCAATTTGCTAGACACTAACAGTGCTCTAAAACTCAGTTCCAGGGCAATGACTGATGGAAATGTCAAAAAATATGAGGCTAACATTGGACAGGGAAATGAAGAAACAAACCATGAACTGTTAAGAAGGAGGCAACTCCAGGAAAACATGCCAAATTGCATTTTCTTATAGTGTCTGCAGTCAGTGCATCTACAGGCATTCTTGTGAAACTGGAATTCTGTATCACCCAAGTAATCAGTAACACCCAAGAAATCATCTGCAATTTCACCACAATTGGTTCCTGTCATCCGGATCTCTGTACGCTTTCTCAGTGAACTCGTTCCTGCTGATCCAACAAGACTTGCATTGGTAAATTAGGAAAAACATTATCGACACCATGCAAACTTGTGATCCTAAGCACTATGTCAACTGACCAAGGTTTGTGTCAAGTCTGTGTGCTAATATCTGACCATTTCAGAAGCCAGTAGAGTTACTCTGGGTTAGTTTACTTCCAATTTAAGTGCTGTGCAATGCATTATTTTACTGAGAGAAATATACAACAATACTTACAACTGAAAAGGCAAGTTGTGTATTGCATAAATTGCAGAATAAAGTTGTATAAAATGCACAAAGAGACCAATTTGAAGAACTACACCTAAAAATTGTTTCTCTCATGCAGAAAACATATTTGTGCCCAAGATGGATTAAAAAATTACCTTGAAGATTACGTTAAAGTAGATGACTGACACATACAAAATTATTAAGAGGTTAGACCTGCTATAACACCTTTTTTTCTCACTGATAGACTTTATTACTACAACTATGCAATATAACATGTTATTGTTCTGTTTCTCAGACTGTTTCTCAGAGAAACATTTTTACTTTTGTCATTTGTCCTACAGGACACAGTCTCTCATTCACTTCAATTTGCAAGGTACCGCTATTGCAGTATCGCTCCCATCATCATGCTGTGCTGGTTTTAAAGGGATTCCACAAGGCTTTCGAGGTAAAGGATTGTACAAGAGAAATCAGAATGAATCTCCAAGATCTAAGGGTGAACGTTAACCAGAAATTCAGCTAAAATTTTGGTATTTAACCCAAAAACATATGGGTTTAAATGCAAAGAGTGCACTTCATATTGTTAAGACTCTTTTTGTTCCGATAATAAAAGGAAAGCTTATCTTACCTGGTAATGAACTCTCTGTGTAGTAGAAGGTACTGACTGTAGGTCCTAGAAAGAGAATGAAAGACACAACAGTGATGAAAATAATTAAAGCAACAAGAGCTGTTTGCAGTTCTACTATCTGAAGTAGCTGGGCAAACAAATCATTTCACAAGTATTTCTCACTGGTTTTAAGCATATGAAACAAACATGGCAGAATAGTCATGGAAAGTTCACTTAAAGTTTAGATTTGTATGCATTTGGTCAAAAAAACAGTTTCCAAAATATAGAGGTTATGTTAATGAGTCTTTACCATGCTATAAATCTATTTGTTCCATGAGAACTATCTAAATTTAAAATATCAGCAAAAAAGTTAATGAAAATATGCTAAAAATCTAAGTGTTTTTTTACAAAAAGTTTTGAGTGATTAATGCACTGAAGAAAACCACTGGCAGTTCTCCCTGTTTTACGACAATCTCACTCTGAGGAGGTCATACCAGAACGATCCTGATATTTACCAGGGTTCAGGAATCTAATTTATTTTAATAGAGATTTTGTCAAATAGTTATAGCTCATGACTTAATCTACCATAGAGCCTGGCCTACAGACCATTGCCCCCCAGCAGCTAGCAAGATGGCAGAGATCAATAAAAACTTGGCACCTCTATTCCCAGTAAATGTGTCTGAGCATATTTAAAAAAAAAAAAAAAAGGCACAGAAACTGCACAAGGTTGGAGAAACACAGCTCCTCCACAACGACTATGGGTAATTCAACCAGAACTTCCAGACTGATTGTGCTTTTCCATACGCCATACTGTAAATATGCATCTTACATCTTACCTTAAGGTATGCACCTTATGGAGCAAACAATGTGATTTTCTGCTTGATAATAAAAGTCATACCCTGGGTCTGGATGTTCAGAAATGCAAAGAAGTGAAACCCTGAAGTGAGATACTAAGGTTCATATTCTGACTGCAAGCACAGCGTTCTAAAACCTACAGGAAGTCAATGGCTCCCAAGGAGCTCAATGCAAGGGGTGAGGTTCATAGTTCCTACGTAAATTAGACCAACTATTTATAAATCTCTGTGATGTCCTCACACTTGTAAATGTTATTGAAAGATATCACTAAGATAGTGATTTTGAAGAGATTAAAAACAATCAGAGACAGTATGTTAATTAAAATCCATTAGTTTTATCACTAAAAACATACACACTTAAAATGATTTGGGTAATGAGACATTTGGAGTCTCCATTTCCCAGGTTGTATTGTAGAACGAACTCTCACGAGTCAAGGTGTTCAAGGCAATAAGAGCAGTACTGTTATTAGGTGCATGAAAATACATTTCTGAGATTTGGAAATATCTATTTGATAGTTGTAGTGTGTAGCGGTTTCTCAGATTACTCCATGACAGTATTAGAGAATGACAGTTGCATAACTGGACCCACTCAAATACCACAATGCTTATCCTTACAAAACACACTTTCTAATGTGTAGTTTAGGTAATTTCAGCAACACGTGTGGAAAGTTTTGGTATTCTATTCTTAATCAAAAAGAAGTAAACACACCCATCCACATCAATTATGTTATCATTTAAAAGGAATCAGTGTGATTTTTAATTTCTTGATTAAGAAATAATTTCAGTACTTTTATTATTACCTCAATTCTAGAATTTTGATTTCAGTGGCAGGCAAATTGCAGCAGTCTTAATATATGGTTGTTGCAACTACTAGTCCTCTGCACTCAGAACCAAAAGAAACATGAAATAGATTAGCAAATTATATCTGAATTCACAAAGGCCTCACCTCCTGTAGGCGGTCGATGTACATACGACAAGTCTCCAAGTCGCAGTCTCCTCGTACAACTATAATTCCTAGAGGAATGGCTGAAAAATCAAAAACAAAGACAAACCTCTTTAACTAAGTCTCTTAAACTTGAACATATTTGCCATGGGCTTCAACTTTGGCTTTTTTTAATGTCCTCACAAAAGCTTTCTATTATCTAAGTCTTAGCAATTATTTAAAAGATTATTATTCATCGTTAGGTTCACCCACTTATAATTATCAAATATTCAGTTTCAAACACCTTTCATGGTTTCATGAAAGAAGTTGAAACATATTCAGTTAATTATGTACTTCATTTTCTGATGTCAACATCAAACATTAACTGCAAAGAAAGGAACATAACTCAGAACAAGAGTTAGGGGGGTGCCCTTATACCTTGAAATAAGAGTGATGTTTTATTTTCAGAATAAAGTCTACAGATTTAAAGTAATGAAAGTCACAGCCTGATTTCTGAGAAAACTGTCCAACACTATGTTATTTTGATGTAGAGCTGCTTTCAAATCAAAACAGACATTTTGCCATCTACACTCAAAACTGACACATCTCCATATTTAGTTAGGGGGAAAAAAAAAAAAAAAAAAAGGTAAATAATTCCCTTCAGGTGAGGGCAACATTTTTAATAACAGGACACTTAGGTTTCCACAGGCATTCTGTTCTTACAGCCAAAAAGAGTCCAAAACAAATCCACAAAAGGAAAAATAGAAAAAAGTATACACGATTCCGCAAGAAAGGTACCAAAAGAGCTATCTACTAAGATCCCATTAAATAAGAAGAAAATAAGTGAAAACTCTTGAGTACCTGATTTTGTAAAACTGAATCACTGATTTAAGTTCCTTTTTCCTCCCTGGAGAGTCTTTAATCAAATAATGCCCCAAAAATTTATGGGAGCAGCAGGAAAGATATTTAAATCCTCACATGAATTATTCCAGAAGGAGAGCAGAATATCAACCCATAAACAATTTTGATAACTGGATAATGAGCAGCAACATAATATTGCCAAGGTTTCTGAGATAAATAGAAAACAGAACTGTGCTGCAGCCTTTCCTGCTGTTGAAAAGAAGTTGATTAAGAGGGAGAAATACTCAAATACCGAGAAGCTCCTCATTCTGGTAAGAAAACAAGACAGTGCTAAAAGATATTGGGGTACATAGCTCCTCTTTTTCTGGTTTACCAAGGTTAGAAGTACAAAGAGCAGCTCAATGCTTTCACAGAGAAGACCTGGGAAGCACTTGCAGCAGTCAAGTTCACAACAGACCTCAGAGACCAGCACAGGGCTCCATAATGCTGCCAGCGTTGTGCTTGGAAAGCAAATTGAACACCAGAACAGCTATGGACCCAGGAAAAATGGAAGCAGGGAAAAAAAATGCTGAAGGGAGAAACAAGGACATAAAGAAGGGATCAGCAGGAAGAACAAAAGAACTCACACGCTGCCTGAAACACTGATATCCAATAGCAATGACAATTCCCCTGCACATTTTCAGAAAGGCCAGGTGGGAACAGTGCTCATTGTGACCTCCCAGATTCTTTCATTACAGAACAGAGACTGAGAGACAAGCGAGTGGAAGGAGGGTCAATCATGAGGTTTCCTTCACGCGCTCCAATGCTCTGGGTTACAGACTGATTCTCTTTGCTTAGTGTTTTGTGTTGCTTAACCTGTGCTGACAGGAGACCCTTAAGCTCTTTGCAGAGAGTTCTTAATGGCCATCTAGCTTCAATTCAGCAGATCCCTTTGCAGCCCTTGCTGAAAGAAGCGTTTGTTAAATTCATTCATAGCACTAAAAAGTGAATTGCAGCAGACACAGCTACACCTCCAATAGCTACAGAGCACTAGGGAGCTACACTACTGGCTCATAAACTGTCACCACAGATTTTGTCTCTCTCATATACACTTAATGGGGACTAAAGCTTTGACCTGCCAAAACAATGCAGAGGAACACAACTGAAATCCTTAACTATCACCACTCCTGACAGCCTGAAAGGGAAGGACCTTAGGAACACATTTGGAATTCTGAAGAAATCCACCAAAATATCTAAAAAGCTAAAACTAATATTCAATAGGTATCTTAGTGGTGATATTTATGGGTCTCATCTAATGATTGAAAAGTAGTGATTCACAACTTCAGTTAAACAATGTCAAGCCAGTTGCTAGTGGCCATGGAATTCTGAAACTCTGGGCTGTATAACTTTGTCCTTGAAAAGAAATGTTCTGCCTTAAGTGTTTGGAAACTGTGAACTAGCCCGATCTACAGCTTTTGGGGTCAATGGCTTAAGGGATAAGGTGCATGAGGTGGGTCTTAAGGGGTTCCATTCCATATGGTTCATGCCCTTTGAAAAACCTTTAAAGTCATCACCGGGTAACACTATAGTATGTGCTAAAAGGCTGCTTTCCAAAGTTTCTGGGTTTTGTTCTTGGATTTTTGTGGGTTTTTTTGTTGGTTGGTTGGGGTTTTTTTGCAAGACCCCATTTGGCTTTCAGCAAGGAATATGTTTCCAGTCCTCATTTTTCGTGAACCACAGTAAGTGAATAAAATGCACCACACAACCAAGACTTTCAAAGTTCTTCACAATAGTTGCTGTTTGAAAACAAAGGCAAATCCTTAATGATTGGTAATGTGATAGAAACTATGGTGTTGTTTCTCATTCTAAAAATAGGGCAATACTGTGCAAGAGTGACAAAAGGAGTTAATTTACGATAAATCAGTTAAAGACAAAGTCAGTGTGCACGGCATTCAGTAACATTGTGGGCACTTTCATCCAGGAACGGAGGAGCACCTCTGCTGAATAGCACTGCATGGACGAGGATATGGACAGTGCTGTGGGACACAGCGATTGCTGGATATGCCAGGTGAGGGGTGGGAGGACAAACAATTACATTAGAGCACAGGCACTACAGAGCAACTTCCTATACACCCACACACTGTCCACTCCTGTGAATATATGGATAACTCCACACATGGGAATAGGTTGAAAATAAGGGATAGTCTCAAATAAGGAGCCAAGCCACAGCATTCAAGAGCTAGATATTTTTCTCCTGAGGTGCCTGCTCTTCTGGCCACTTGCATCCGGCCCTGAGTTCTTTTGCGGTCCCTGAATGATGAAAAGGGACTTTGTCCAGGAAGGTGTGGATACAGACTGTAACACTGCAGTGATGAGTAGCAGTGCAAGAACCCCAGAAAATGAGAGGGGCAGGCAGTTACTTCATATTCTGAACCAACACTGCAGAAAGCTTTTTGTTCCTAGCAACACTAACCAAAACTAAGTATCAGCAGGAGGAGGGTTGGGTAGATGCAGCAGGAGGGCTAACATGATGCTCTAATTATTTGCAAGATTAACAGTGATTTCCTGAGTCCTCATGAAATTAGCTACGGAATTTATAAACAACAAACAAATCTTCCACCTATTAACTGCCCATTATGCTGAATACCTATAGCTAGTGAACTCCTTAATAGTACTGGGGACTTAAATGACAGAAGCCTGAATATACCGCATATGGCACCATGAAGAAAAAATAAAATTCAATTAGCTTCCCCATTTATTACTATGAAATAATTCAATTTGTGATCTTAACACCATATTAACCCACTCAAATCCCAAACAAAAGAACCTTGAGACAGAGCATTAAGGTAAATGTGAACACCAGGAAAACTCATTCTGAGTCTGACATACCTCAGGGGACTGGGGAGGTTAGACATTGGACTGTAAATGTTTAATGTAGCAAATAAAGAATCGTCTCTACTGAAGATGTTATAAGAATACCATTTTCCGGAGGGGTTTTCACTAATATTAGGAATGTGAAGGACCAAATAAATTCTTGGTAGAGAATTCTAAAATATTCAGACATTCATATTACGAGTTTTGGCTTTCCCAGTATGGTTTTAATAAAACAGAATTTGTACAAACCGTGGTTTGTTCTCCACCACACAAATCTAAACCATGTGTCTCTTCAGATCCCTTTTGCTTACTATAATGAGAAAAAACTAATTCGCCCTATGGTTGTTCGTTGCTAGGGGTTTTTTTAAGCGCTAGTGGTCCACCTCTAAAATCCTCAAGTCAGGAGGTAAAAGACGGTGAAGGTTATCAGATAAAACCAGACCAGGTTTGAGAAGGCAGTCATCCCCTCCAGGCTCTCAGTGACTTCTCCAGTACCCTGCTAAACAAAGGAAGAAGCTGTCCAAGATAAAGGAAGAGAGAACCTGTCCCAAACAACACACAAAAAGTAACAGGCTATAGAAAGAAAACTGTGAAGAGCTGGGAATTGAAACTGGCAGAGGGAATCGATATTGTGACTAAGAGTTGACAGCACAGAACTGGACGAATAGTGAATAAAGGATCTAGGATTAAAAATAAAAAAAAACAGGAACCTGAACTGTGAGGTCTACAGAAACAGCCTAAGACAGGCAGGAAGGATGTGCGTGGGATGAGATACCCAAAGGGGACAACCAGAACTGAAAAGGTAAGAGGAAGTCAAATCAGAAAAGCAATAAGAAAACAGGAAAGTGAAATATGGATGGAAAAACCTCACAGAAAAGTCTATACCAGAAAGACAAACTACAGTGTGGTTTCCTGGAAAGTCTGAAATGGAAGATAATATTCCTGCTTCTCCTCACTACTCTAGGCTAAAAACAAAATTCTATCTATTTGGAATTGCATCTATTTGTAATACTGCCCATCTCTTCTAGTCTAAAGGAAGGCAGAGGACTGTACTGAACATATAACCTGTGAGGTGTCACGACAAGGCAGATTCACATTAGATATTAGGTAGAAATTCTTCACAATGAGGGTGGCAAGACACTGGAATAGGTTGCCCAGAGAAGTGGTGGATGGAAAGTGAAGGCCTAGAGAAATGGAACCCTGGGAGAGTTCAAGGTCAGGGGCTTTGAGAAACCTGGTCTAATGGAAGGTGCCCCTACCTATGACGGGGTTGGAACTACAGGATCTTTAAAGATCCCTTTCTGCCTCATTCATTGTATGATTCTATAACTCAATGATATGAGATTTCAATGGTTTGGGTTTACTCCTTCCCCCAGTCCCAGGCAATAAC